AAAGAGTGACTCCAGCCCAAAAATATATATATTTAACCCCTTCACGCCTAAGGGTAAAACAAATCTAAATGCCTAAGCACAATTTTGCAACGTTGACATGTGTTAGTAAAACCGTACATATCATCACAACTACTTTGTACATCCAGGTGGATTATACCTTGTTTTTTTCAGGACAAATTGGGCTTTTATTTGATGGTAAATGGTAATGGATATGTTCTGATTTTTTTTTTATCACAGGAAAACTGGCCCAAAATAGTAAAAAAAAAAAATATATTTTTTTTTTATTTAGCTGTGTGTTTCTTGTTACGACCATAACCTACCTTCATAGAACAACCCAAAATAAATTCTCCAGCTCGACGATCGCAGCGATACCATATATGTGTATGTTATTTGTTGTTTGTACCCGTAGTACAGCCCAGAAACAATAGTATGCATTTTGTTTTGTGTTTTTTTTACCTAAAAACACACACATACACTGACATTAACTCTGACACTGATACCAATTTTTTCTTTAAATCCTGACCTTTGACCCTGACCTTAACACTAACCCTGGCACTGAACTAGATCAAACCTTGATCTAAGTATTTTTCTTTATTTTTTAATATTTTCTTTTTTTTCCTTACAAACTTTTTTTTTATCTATGTCAGGAGTTAGAGAGATACAATGTCAGGAGTTAGAGAGATACAATGTATCTCGCCGGGCTGCACAGTGACTGATCACTGTAACAGTCAATCAGAGGCTATCCCAGCAATCACGTGACCCGGAAACGGGAGTCCCGGGTCCCGACTGTTAGAACGGGACCCGGGGCTCTCAGTGACACGGCGCACTCCCAGCACAAAGACAGGTACGCAAATATGCGGTCCCTCGGAAAAAAAGGCCAGTTCCGTTAGGCCGCATATTTGTGTGCTGTCAGCGTCAAGGGGTTCACCCTTTGAGGACCGTAAGATTTTGGAACGCCAAAAGAATCAATTTTTTTGTTTTTAAAGTTTGTACACTTCAGTTGCTGTAACTAAGCCATTTCATGAAATAATTGGCAAAAAGCTCGATCCATTTGTTGTTTGTTGATAAGAACTAATATTTTGACTCAAACCAAAAAAAAAAAAGTTTTAAGTTCTTAATCAGATGATACACGCAAATTAAAAACATGGGACAAATACGTCCCTTGGTCCTCAAAAGGTTAATAGGTTTTTGGATAGCATAGGGAAGAGTTAACACTTCTGTAATGTTTGTTTTGCTGTCTGTGCCCCTATTCAGCTCACTTTCTGTCCCTGTGACAATAAGATTTTGAAAATTTTGGGTTCTAGGATTGGTGATGAAACTTCACCTTTTTCCCCCATGATAACTCATACAGGAGTGAATTTCCTTTCCTAGCGGTGGATTTCCTCTCATTTCCGGTTTCTCCCTTCATTCGTAATTTAGGGACTGCCTGTTAAACAAGAAATATCCGTGGCTGAATTTTGTGTCTCACGTATACTGAATCCTGTGTACTCTAGTGTCTGAACGTTCTATGTGTGTCATGGGTAATGACCAATCAGGCTCCCACAGTGGGATTATTGGTAATCCGGTACCCAAAAGTTCTTGCAATAAACAGAACCACTTTGATTTTCAAGAATTTTATTTTCCTGAGATAGATAAAATCCAAATGATGATACAATGAAGGGAATGGGGGTACAGGTAAAATGCAGCACGAGCCCCACACTCACTTCCTGTGTGCAGAGCGTCTTCTGCTGGAACTGGGGGGGGGGGGGGGGGGGTAATGACACACAGGGGTGACATGGGGATGACATTAGCAGAAAGCAGTCATTCATTAGCGGCTAATTATTGCAGTGCAGATCCATAAAGCAACATCCGAGAAGGTGCATAGCTCCGTCCACCTCTGCAGCGGGGGCTGGTCCGAGATACCAAACTATTATCATGCGGAAACAAAGAGGCCGTGCTCACCAAGTCATTGGTTGTCCTCACCAGCAAAGAGAGAACGGGGCCATCGGCGCCCATAGGAGTGCGGCGTATAGGAGAGGTCAGGCATTTCAGTAAAGCCCCAAGTAGTCGTGAGAGTAAAGTGCAATGGACACCAAGCGTGACCAGGCCAACTGCCTGTATTTCAGTGGGAGGGAACGGAAAAGGACATTTGTACGACATCTGGAATTTCTTTGCTCCTGCGCAAGAATGATTGAAGCAGCACTCTAGACCTCGTGTAATAGGCTAACCTTGCCCTGGAAAACACACAGGGGTTTCCTGATGGAGGTGAGCAGAACATTTTCATGTCTAAGGGTGGAGCACATAACTGTGGCATAAAAGACAATGAGGACAACACCTGGCTAGGGTACTGACGAGGTGTGCCTGTAACGTAAGGCAAAGCTTACTGAATATAAGATACGATAGAGACCAAATATGATGTGTGAAAAAAGATGAGCCATCCTCACTCTGACACAGTCTAAGGCTATGCTATCTCCCAGTCTTAAAGAATAATTATTTTACCCTAGGACAGGGTTTGGGCCTATAGCCAAACTCTAAGACATGGTTTGGAGCTGCAGAAGTACCCTAGGACACACCCCAGACCTGTTGCCAGCCTCTAGATAACTTTGGCCAATATTTGTACTTTAGGACAGGGTTTGGGCCTAAAAATGGTACCCTAGGATGTGACCTGGACTTGTAACTATACTCTAGAGCAGTGGTCTCCAAACTACAGCCCTGGGGCCGGATGTGGTCCTTTGCTTGCCTTTATCAAGCCCTTAGGGCACTATTTCTCCCAATGGTAGAAGACATTATTTTGCCAACTGACGCCAACAATGGGGCACCATTTCTCCAACTGACACAAATAATGATTCCTTTCAGTAATACCAACGATGGGGCACTTTTCGTCTGCCTAATAGCATATGTGGTGATGTTTTCTACCACTGATGCCAGGAAATGTTCCACTCCTACTGGCCACAGTCCAACCCCCATAGAGTCTGAAGGACAATAAACTGGCTCTTCGTTTATGAAGTTTGGAGACCCTTGCTCTAGGGCATGGGCCTGCAGTTGTTCTCTAGGACAGGGCTTGGACCTTTACTGTATCAGTACCTTAGGCTACCACATGGACCTGTAGCCATACTCTAGGAATGACCCTGGCTTGTAGCCAAACTCTAGGGCAGGGTTTGGACCTGCAGCGGTACCCTAGGACAAAGCCTGGACCAGTTGCCAGCCTCCAGGGCATAACTCTAAGAATGGTCCCAGCCTATAATCATACTCTAAAATGGGGTTTAGACCTGTAGCATTTCTCTAGGTATGACCTCAGCCTATAGCCATACTCTAGGACATGGTTTGAACCTGTAGCCATACTCTAGGAATGGCCCCAGTCTGCTGTCATACTCTAGGAAGGGGTTTGGGCCTGTAGCTGTACTCTAGGAATGGCCCCAACCTACAGTCATAATCTAGGACAGGGTTTGGACCTGTAGCCATTCTTTAGGCATGACCCCAGCCTGTAGTCATACTCTAGAAATGGTCATAGTCTGCTGCCCTACTCTAGCATTGTTTGAACCTGTAGCAGTAGTCTAGGATGTGGCCCAGACCTGTAGTGTTACTATACACCAAAGTTGCATGGTAAGAAGAAGTAGTGTTATTCTATAATACAGTATGGACATGTCATTAAGCTTCGGTACTACTTTAGAAGAAGACCTTTTGTAGTGTCACTCTAGAATCCTGTCATATTCTAGAACAATATTCCACACTGTATTGTGTCAGTTTTCAGCACCATCTTGGCACTGCCAAATGTTGCACTGTTCCCAGCACAGGACGACCCAATACATCAAGCTAGGACAAAGTACCGTTCAAAGGGTTAGTTCATGTTAGCTGTTTGAAAGAAGGGTTAAGGCTGAGGTGATAGATGTGGTTTTTCGGGATTAAATTCAGGGGCTACAGACTCATTTAAAGCATGAGGTTAAGACGTTATGGGGTTTATTTACTAAAGCTGGAGAGTCCAAAATCAGACTCCCTTCTGCATAGAAACCAATCAGCTTCCAGGTTTCATTGCCAAAGCTTCATTGAACAAGCTGAGGTTAGAAGCTGATTGGTTTCTATGCAGAAGGGAGTCTGATTTTGGACTCTCCAGCTTTAGTAAATAAACCCCTATGAGTCGTTTTAGCAGTTACACTTTAGGGCCTTGGGGTAGAAAGGTCAGGAGTGGCAATCTCAATTTTTTTTTTTAATTAATGACCAAAAAATAAATCAAAATACATCTAAAAATATTTAATGACAGCAAATGCTGTCTCATTTCAGGCCAGGGTCATTTAGGAGATTCTAGACTAAAAAGGTGTCATGACCAGAGGAACGCCCAACCGGATTTACGTTGCACAAAGCTGTGCAGCATCTTGTACATTCCCCAATGAGAAGCCACAACACAAATTTGGGATCCCAATCTACAATGACGGTTACCGTCACAGGCAACTGTCACATTTTTACAGCCTGTCTAAATTCTGAACAGTTGGTAAACCCTGGGATGGGTTGGAGTCAGCCTAATGTCAAGAGTCAGTTTTATCATTTGCATTTAGTGCAGCTGTCTAAGATGCTAAAAGTTGATGTGTAGTTAAGAGAACTAAAAAACAGTCCAGAACTGAAAGTCATAGCTGGTAAAGTTCATGTAGAATTCAGTCCTGTAGTATTTCTATTGCTAGTCTGTGGTTCCAGCATTTCTTGCTAGTAAAGATTGCTGGCAATTTGACTGGAGTCTGTAGTGTTAGAAACATCTAATGAGATTTCTCCATTGGGACAACGTACATGGTGGGGAGACATAGGCCACGTTTTCTTATGCCGGGAACATATTCCAGGGGTGGAGTACACCGTTCAGTCTGTGTCAAGAAAACGATTGAAGATGGTTCATTCTAGAATAGAGTGGAGTGTGACTCTAGAAGAAAATGGATTTAGAATTTATATCACTATTCTATAGCTGGTGGGATCAGCGGTACCGTTAAGTGCAAGAATTGGGGTGAGGTGAATGTTGAGCAGCTGGACAATGAGCGGGATCAGCAACGCTGTGATGAAAGATCAATGTTACTGGCGCTCAAACCCCGTGACTCCGACAGAAGACTCTGAGAGCCCTGCAAGAGGAGAGAGAGGAACCTCAATCAATGAAAGATCAGACAGCAAGAGGCAGCACTACGGGGAAGGGGGGGGGAATGGGGTCAGAGGAGGAGATG